GAAGAGGAAGAAGAAACCAATCCGTGAGAAACCATGGCTGATAATACAGTCTGCAGCTTCTCCAGTTGCCTTAGCTCTTCCATGTTCCTCTTCCCCTTTCTTTTTCTTCCTTCTTTTGCAGATTTGCTCGAGTTTCCAACTTCTCCGTCGCGCTGTAGATCCCTGAGTTTTGTCAGCAAATCATCAACTCACAGATTTGCGTTCGTCGCGTTATTGGAACTCGAATGGCCTGTAATGGCGAAATCGAGTTGCAACGGAGTTACCCTTCGTTCTGTTTCCGGGGACCGATGTTCAGTTTTTGCCGGAAAACCTGGCCCAATTTACACACTGGGCCCAGCATACGAAGCAGATTTTTTAAAACAAAATCAAGTCTCGCACAAATTTTAATCTAAAAAACACGCGATTAAAATATTTTAGAATTTGCAAGTTAGCCCTCATAATTATAAGAAATTTATTTCGATGACTAATAGTAATCAACTTCTAGCTGACCGTTTTCTCTGCAACCAATCATATTTTGGAACGAGCGACAAAATTTAAAAGAAAATCAGTCTCTTCTCGAAAATGCAACAAGGAAATAAAACCGAGGCTTCAAATGTTTTCACAGTACGCCTTTCAAGATACTTTGGAATCCCAAAGCTCAACAACTAACTTAGACAAAAGATAACGCAGACCAAAAACAAAACAAGATTTAGACAGAAATCTAAGAAACTTAAACAGCATGAATTATTTTTATTTTAATGTAAAAAATATATAGTAATAAAATAATTTCTCTTCTTTTTATAATTCTATTTTATTTTTTTTAGTTCGAGTTGTTCAATATCTTTTTTTATTTTTTATTTTTATTTTTGAATTTTTGATGTTTATATATTTAAATCGTTTAAAGAGGAATAAAAATCTAAAATCAAATGAAATATTATGACAAAAAAAAGTTAAATCTAAAAAATTTTAAAATCAATCGAGACGATATAACAAAAATAGTTAAAGATAGAATTTTTCTATATATATATAAACTCTTTTCATTGTAAAAAGTGTAACAATAAACTAATTTCGTTATTTTTATATTTATCTTATTTTGTTTTCGTGAAAAAATAACCGTGTGCATGAGGAACAAAGAACGAAGCATGTATTAAGGCCGACAACGAAAGAGGCCTTGGGGACACTTGTAAATATGCTTGTGGTTCTAGCCGGTGTAACACACCAAGAATAAGGAAAATATGGTTAAGTCATATTTCGAAGAAGAAGATTAGCTGGAGGCCAAATCAAGAAGACAAACAAACAAACTTCCCATATTTCTATTCTTCGTGAAGGTTAGCTCCAATATTGCATATTATTGTAAATAAATATTTGTGGACATCAAAACCAATAAAAACAACCTGAGGACTACTCACAAAACTCTCCTCTCTATCATATCAATTTGAGAATGAAAATTAGATGATCAAGGAAACTCAGAGTATCCTTCGTTCCAGATCAATTGCCCAAACTCTCCGAGACCCTGCTGACTTTACCTTAGTCAGTAGGGCTCGAAAGGGGACGGCAAATTTAAGTAGTCCTCTAATAATCAGGAGACCTCATTCATACTAGAGTTTGTAACGAATCAAGTGTTCGGAGCATTGTAAATGCAATGGTCGACCGAAATCCTAGTAAAAGATATATTCACCAACCAAGAGGAGGCTATTGTCTATTCAAAGGAAACTAAGGCAAAAAGATTCACATGACACGTTGTTTCTTTTTTGCTTCATCACTTCGAAACTTTTTCAGTAATATTTTTTTCTCATTTTTGGTATTGAACTTTATCAGATCGTATATATTTACCCTCGACGCTCTGTTAAATCCGGTCTAATTGCTGCTATTGGTTTACTTTCATTTGTATAGCTGGTTTAGATCATACCAGATTGCTGAGTAGGATAGACACGCGTATTGTATTTAGGAGTCTGTTATTGATTTGTTATTCTTTCTGTTTTGGTTTTCTGTATAAAACCCCATGTACACTGAAGGAATAATTAAGAAGAAATTTCCAGAAATCAGTCTCTCTCTCGTTGTTTTTCCTCAGCTGTTATGGTATCAGAGCTATAATACCTTCTTCTGCCATTTTCCTTCGACCTATCTCTTCTTCTTCATGGCTTCTTCTACGACAGAATCGTCTCCCTCTGTTGCTTCTGATTCCTCTTTTCAACATTCCCCTGACCCTTATGCTAATCCCTTATATCTTCATGCGGCTGATTCTTCCAGCATTTCTCTTGTCACGGATAAACTGGTCGATGAATCCAACTATAATTTCTGGGCTACGTCGATGATTCAGATTCTCACCGCCAAGAATAAGCTCGGCTTCATCTACGGTACTATTCTTCAACCTCCAGAAACTCATTCGGATTATGGGGCTTGGATCCGTTGTAATGCCATTGTGGGAACTTGGATCAACAACTCTGTCTCTCCTGATGTTAAATCCATGATTATGTATATCGAAAATGCACATCTCAAATGGACTACACTTGAGACACAGTTTAAGCAGAAAAATGCCTCCAAGATTTTTCACATCGAACAGCAGATTGAATCCTTACAGCAGGGTTCTCTTGATCTTAATACGTTTTTTACTAAACTGAACTCTTTGTGGGAGGAGCTGAAAATGCATGATCCGATTCCTGTTTGTGTTTGTGGAACCTGTACCTGTGATTCAAAGACCAGATTGATGGATTATTGTGACAAAAAGAACGTTGTTCGTTTCTTGATGAAGTTATCTGAGTTCTTCCATCCCGCTCGCCGTCAAATTCTGATGATCGATCCCCTACCCTCTATTCGTAAAGTTTTTGGGATGGTGGCCCAGGAAGAGCACCAGCGCATTGCTCTACCGACTATTCCTGACTCTGCTGCTTTCCAAATGACCACCCCACCCTCTCATAAACCTCGACCTTTTTCTACTCCTAAAACCAGACCTTTTTGTACTCACTGTAACATCCCGGGTCACACTATTTCCCGATGTTACAAGATCCATGGCTATCCCATTTCTACCCGCCCCTCGCCCTCAAATAAACCTGGTCTTTTGCCAAAACCCAAATCTCCCTTTTCTGATACTTTTCAGAATCCTGTCAACATGGTTGGCTCTGCTTTGGATGGTTCTATTGCTACACAGTCGCCTTTAGAACAGGCTCAGGCTCTTTTTGATCAGTTTCAATCTCAGCTTAAGGGGATTAGTAACCTTGCTACTGACTCAGATGCTGCTACCTCGTCTACTCCGACCCCTTCACCAGGTATCTTACCTCAGTTTGTGTTTTCTTCTTTACCTTCTTCTTTTACAGCTTCACAAAATATCTGGGTTATAGATACTGGAGCTAGTAGTCATATATGCTGTGATTCTCGCTTATTTTCTGTTCTTAATCCTATTCCTACCATCCGTATTACTCTGCCAAATGGATCCACTATCCCAGTGACTCATTCTGGTATGATTTCTCTGTCTTCTGATCTGATTCTTTATTCAGTTCTATATGTTCCTTCTTTCCGATTTAATCTTCTGAGTATTAGTGCCTTAACCTCTTCTTCTCCTTATCTTATTTCCTTTTCCCGTGATTCATGTGTGATTCAGGACCCTATTCGGGCCTTGATGATTGGGAGGGGTAGACAATGCCATAATCTCTACTTACTCGAGCTGCAGGGAGTTTCTCGGTCATCCTCTGTTCTTCCTTCCACTCTCTGCACTGCTCTCTCTACTTCAGCTCCTATAGAACTATGGCATATCCGTCTTGGGCATCCGTCTTTCTTGCGAGTTCAAGCTCTTGGCTCTTCTTCCCAGCTAAATTTCATCCCCACATCAGAGTCTTCACCCCATTGCACAATCTGTCCGTTGGCCAAGCAACGCAAATGCTCTTTTCCTGTTTCTGGGAAACTTTCTCAGGAACCTTTTTCTCTTCTGCACTTAGATATTTGGGGTCCCTTTCATCTTTGTTCAGTTGAGGGGTTTCGTTATTTCCTTACAATAGTGGATGAATGTAGCCGAGTCACTTGGATATATTTACTACGTAATAAAAATGATGCTCTTTCTCGGTTTACTGAGTTCTTAGTCTATGTCTCAACTCAATTTGGTACATCTGTGAAATCTTTCCGCACAGACAACGCTCATGAACTTGCCTTTTCTTCTTTGGTCGCGAAACATGGTCTTATACATTTTCGCTCTTGCCCTTACACCCCTCAACAAAACTCGGTTGTTGAGAGAAAACACCAACATATATTGAATGTGGCAAGATCCTTGTTATTTCAGTCTAATTTGCCTCTGGTTCACTGGACAGATTGTGTTCAAACCGCGGTTTATCTCATAAATCGCATTCCCACACCCATTCTAAATAATAAGTCTCCTTTTGAGGTTTTGACACACTCGAAACCTTCTTATTCTCATCTTAAGGCCTTTGGCTGTTTATGTTATGTCAATACCACAGATAGGCATCGACAGAAATTTTCGCCAAGGGCTGTCCCGCACGTTTTTATTGGCTATCCTAAGGGTGTCAAAGGTTATAAAGTCCTTAATCTTGACACTAATGTTGTCTCTGTTTCCCGGAATATTGTTTTCCAGGAATCTGTCTTCCCATTTTCTTCAAAACCTCTGTCATCCTCAACGATGGAGTTCTTTCCTGTTAGTCCCTCTCTGTTTTACCGTTATGAATCTGTCTCCTTACCCTCAACATCTTCACCAGTCCCTCAGATTCTTCCTTCTGCTTCTCAGAAGATCTCATCAGATCCACTACAAGAAACATTAAAATTTGCGACAGAAAAATCTGTCGCAAATACAAAAGAATATCTGTCGCAATTACAAATTTGCGACAGATTGCGACAGAATCAATTCTGTCCGTATATTGTTGTCGCAAAAGTTTGTCGGTCGTTAATCTGTCGTAAAGTTGCGACGGACAAAATCCGAGTTTTGCGACAGAATTGCGACAGAAAAATCTGTCGCAAATATATTTTTTAATATTTTTAAAAAAATAAAAAAAAATCTACGTTTACTACGGATTTGCGACAGAAAAATCCGTCGCAAATATTTTTTTTAATTTTAAAAAAAATATAAAAAATATATTATACATATACACACATATACGTATATTCACATACACATATACGCATACATTACATATATCCACATATATACATATACACACACATACATAAACACACATTCATACACAAAATTTACATACACATACATATATATTACATATATGCACATAATTATACATATACACATAAATTTATATACATATATATATACATACACATATATTCATATACATACATTTACATATACACATATATACATATACACACACATACATAAACACACATTCATACATATTCACATATACACATACACATACATATATATATATATATATTCACATACACATCACATAAACACACATAAACATTTATATATATGCATACACATTCACATTCATATTCACATTCACATACATACACAACACACATACATAAACACACACACATACACATACATACATAAACACATACACATTCACATTCATATATATATATATACACAACACATACATATACAAATCCATATACACGATATATATACACATACCTTGGCGAACTTTGAAGAAAAACAATTTGTTGGAGAAGATTGGAGAAGATTGAGATTTTTTTTAAAAAAAATTCGAAGTCTGGAGGAGAAAGACGAAGTCGCAGCTTTTATTAAGTGTTGCGACGGATATTGCAGTCGCAACCCGTCGCAAAACGAAAAATAAACCGCGAAAATTTAAAATTTTTCATCGAAAATAGCGGAAAAAAATAAAATTTAGATTTGCGACAGAAATTTCTATCGCAACTCCGTCGAAAAAAAAAATAAACCGCGAAAATTTGAAAATTTTCATCGAAAATAATAAAAAAATGAAATTATGATTTGCGACAGAAATTTCTGTCGCAAATCTGTCGCAAAATCCAAAAATAAATAACTTTAATTTAAAAATAAATAAAATTAATATTTGCGACAGAAATTTCTGTCGCAAATCTGTCGCAAATCCGCAATTTTAAAATTTCTGTCGCAAATAATGTTTGGTTCTGCGACGACAACGTTTCCGTCGTATTCCGTCGCAAATTGCGACGGATTTTGCGACTAATTGCGACAGAATAAAAATTTTCGCATTCCGTCGCAAATTCGTCGAATTCTGTCGTAATTTCTTTGCGACGGAAAAGTTTCGTCGCAAATTCTGTCGCTATATTAAGATTTTCTTGTAGTGATCCTATTGTCTCTGATGATGCTTCTGCCATTCCTGTTTCTTCTTCTATTCCATCGGAAAATGTTCGAAAATCACAGCGTTTGACCAAAACTCCTAGCTATCTATCTGATTATCACTGTTACCATCTTCTACACCACACCCCTCCACCTACGTCTACCTCTGTTTCTTATCCTCTTTCTTCTTTTCTTTTTTATTCGAAACTTCATCCTTCTTTCAGACATTTTTCGCTTTCCATTTCTTCTGCAACCGAACCTAAGACCTATAGACAGACTGCAGCATCTGAGGAATGGCAGGCTGCTATGAAGCTTGAACTAGATGCATTGACTCGAACTCAGACCTGGGTTATCTGCTCTCTTCCACCTGATAAAACTCCCATTGGCTGTAAATGGGTTTATAAGGTAAAGTACAATGCTGATGGCAGCATTGACAAGCACAAGGCTCGTTTGGTTGCTAAAGGGTACTCGCAACAAGAAGGTGTTGATTATTTGGATACGTTTAGTCCGGTTGCAAAGCTTTCTACGGTCAGAATCATTCTCGCACTTGCTGCAAGTCAGAATTGGTCCTTACATCAAATGGATGTCTCTAATGCCTTCTTGAATGGTGACTTGAGCGAAGAAATTTACATGAAGCTGCCACCTGGGTACTCTGCCATTAAGGGGGAGAATGTATCTGAGAATTCGGTCTGCAAATTGCGAAAGTCACTTTACGGACTTAAGCAGGCTTCACGACAATGGAACATCAAGCTCTCTCAGGTTCTGTTGTCCGGTGGCTTCTCTCAAGCACAATCAGACAATTCTTTGTTCTTTCGGCATCAGGGTCAGTGCTTTGTCTTTGTTTTAGTCTATGTGGATGACTTACTAATTGCTGGAAACAGTGATGCACTGATTACTGATGTCAAGAGCCTTCTTTGTTCTAAATTTCTGCTGAAAGATATGGGTAATCTTCGTTATTTTCTGGGGCTTGAGATAGCTCGTTCAAGACATGGAATTCATATTTGTCAGAGAAAATATGCTTTGGAGTTATTGGAAGAGTTTGGGATGTTGGCCTGTAAACCAAATGCTTCTCCTATGGATCCCAAGGTCAATCTTCACTCTACCTCAGGGGAGCCTTTGTCCAATCCGACGTTATTCCGCAAACTGATTGGCAAGCTTATCTATTTATCCGTCACACGCCCTGACATTTCATATTCAGTTCAGAAGCTAAGTCAATTTATGGCTGCTCCATGTTCAGATCACTTAGATGCTGCCTATAGATTGCTGCGATATATCAAATTGGCTCCTTCTCAGGGTTTATTGTATTCCGCCAATTCTGATATACGACTTAGTGGATATACGGATGCCGATTGGGCCGCCTGCTCTGACACGAGAAGATCTGTAACCGGTTTCTGTATGTTTCTCGGCACTTCTCTGGTAAGCTGGAAGTCTAAGAAGCAAAAGACTGTTTCCCGCAGCAGTGCGGAATCCGAATACAGAGCGATGGCACAGGCAACGTCGGAGCTAATATGGATTTCTGGTTTACTTCGTGAGCTTAAAATCAGAGTTCCTACACCTGTAACGTTGTTCTGTGATAGCAAATCCGCCATTCATATCGCCAACAATCCCGTTTATCATGAACGGACGAAACATATTGAGATCGACTGCCACTTTATCCGGGACCACCTGAAATCTGGTTTTTTGAAGCCTTTGCACGTATCTTCTCAAAATCAGGTGGCTGATATCTTCACCAAACCTTTATCTGGAGATCACTTTCGGATTTTACTGAGCAAGATGGGTACTTCCAATCTTCATTCCCCACTGCTATTGGTTTACTTTCATTTGTATAGCTGGTTTAGATCATACCAGATTGCTGAGTAGGATAGACACGCGTATTGTATTTAGGAGTCTGTTATTGATTTGTTATTCTTTCTGTTTTGGTTTTCTGTATAAAACCCCATGTACACTGAAGGAATAATTAAGAAGAAATTTCCAGAAATCAGTCTCTCTCTCGTTGTTTTTCCTCAGCTGTTAAACTTCCATATAATTTTTTAGACTAAGGATGGTTTTTTAAACCCTCCCTATCATACATATATAAAATTTTACATTTAACAAAAAAAAAAGCACATGTTCGTATCGTTACATAGTCTCTTTATTGTTTGTTTATCTGGTCACAGTTTTCTCTATTCCTTAATCCCCTACGATTACTGAAACTCCGAGGTTGTCATCATTTGTTCTCACGGTAATCCAAAGATTCCAATAAATATTAATTGGTGGCATCCATTATGAAAATTCAAATTAAAATCCGCGTTTTGTGCTTTGTTGTGGTTGGAGAGCTTTTTCTTGAACCTTCGGTGCCAAAGACAAAGAACATTAGAAAGACATAAGGAATCAACAACAGCTCATGCCACAGCTTGCCCATTTATCTGCCAAAATATAAAAGGCCGAATAATATATAATATGTTGGTTGTATCATTCATTTTATTTATTTATAAAATTTTTGTGTTTTGTAGTGACGGATTCGCCACGTGGACTCTTATCATTCTCCCATAATAGGTCTCGTTGACCTCACACACACACACGGACGACTTTTTCTTTAATTCTTTCCTTTTTATTTGCGCTTTAAATAAATCATCAAAGGAGGACAAAAACAATATATATATATATGTGTGTGTGTGTGTGTGTGTGTGTGTTGTATATATTAGCTAATTGTGAATAAGTGTATCTGAAAAATCAACAGTTAATTAATAGAGGAGAACATGATATGTAGACATACATATACATATAGACACATATATACACATGTAAATATGTATGATATGCGAGAATACGATCTTATAATAAGATGAAATGATATTTCAAACCAAATAAAAGTGTACGAGAATTCCTGATTAACGAGAGACAGGCTTATTGGGCCCTAATTAAATTTTAGAGTATGAAATTACTAATTTCTGTATTAGAATTTGTATCATCCTATCCCATATATATATATATATATACGTACTTCTTTTGTCTTGAGTTATATATTATGTCCATTGTATAGATAGATCATCCCCACACACACATTAAAAATCAATATATAGATATACTTAAGTTATCTTAACTCTAACAAGAGATTTAATATACGTATATAAAGAAATGGAAGCAGAAAGGACTTTATTCCGAGAATGATTGATCAGATTATTTAAAATTTCATTTCAAATAAGAAAGCCTTTGCACTGAAGGAACTTAAGGAACACATGAACACATGGTCGCCACTAGTACATACAAAGGTGATTAAAGCTATGCTGTTGAGGCGCAGCTCAAAAAAATGAGATCTCCGGCTGCATGACTGATATTTTCATCGAATCACAACCACGGAAAAAAAAAAGCTTCATATGAAAAAAAAAACCCATCGAATCTCGAAATTACCAAACAAGGACGCATTCATCTCCTCCATGCAAAAAAACATTGATCATTTTCGGAAAAAGAAGATACTGAGTTCCTGTCCGATGATACCATGTGGGTCGATTAGATGAAAAGATTCCGAATCAGAGGATCCGAAGACTCTTTCGAAACTTGCCCTTAAGTACATCACGTGATCTTTCTCGTCGGCGTTTATAACTCCGGCGCCCTCCGTCACGCTGCTGAGCACGTTCAAGGCCGCCAGCTCTGCCTTGGACGGCTCTCTTTTAATGGCGAAGCCGACTTTCCGACCGTTACAGTACATGTTCCATAACGGTGTCGACAATAGATGGGACAGAGATTCGTCGTTTCCGTTGTCCCAGTACGTGTTGTTTGATTCCAATGCTATTCTCAGAACCCCTCCTCGCATTTCCTGGGCTAAAACCTCGGTGGGGACTGCGAGTTCCAGTAGGACAATTATAGGGTTTAGGGTTCCGACCGAGGTTGCTTGGATGCAGAAGTTGACTTTTCCTCGCCGGAAACCGAATATAGTGCCAGTGAATGTGGCGGCGTTACGGTGGCTGTTACGTTTCCGGCTGGTTTGTTTACGGCTATCATGTGGGTTTGGCTCTACGAATGTGCAGTAGCAAGATGGGAGGAGAAGTTGGACGATAGTGCGGAGGACCCGCCATGACCGGACCTGCTTGTGGCAGTCGACGGCGGTAGTGGAGTCGGTTCCGGCGGTTGCAGCTGTGAAGCGGTGGCGGCGGCCGGTGGTGGTGGTGAAGGACATGGCTCGTGTTGTGGTATAGGGAAAAGCTGATGATATGTGCATGTACATGTGTTAGGGTTTAAATAGACAGGACGAATAACATGATCTTTTGTTTACTGTTTCATATTTTGTTTGCTTTTTGAATTTTAAGTAATATATATTTTATTAATATGCTATTATTAAAAAATAATTACAACTTTTGGAAATACTTAGTACTCAAACTTTTGCATATGCTTCTTTTAATCATGGATGTAATTTTTTTTTTTTGGTGATAGACATTCTTAACTTTAAGAAAATTAGAAATCAATTTGAACTTCTCATCTAATCTTTTTTTTTTTTTGTTTGCAGAATATGTATATAACTGAAATAAAGTAACTATATATATATATATATAACCAAAATAGCCTTCTTTGAGAATGGTATGTAGTTCTATGTAAGTTCTAAATAACGATTCTACAAACTGTATTAAGATGACAAAATTTTAACACCGATACAGATAACATAAATAAAAAATTTGTTACCTACTCGAAAAGTTTGTTTGTTACCAAAAAAAATGCCACGGTATAATAGGAAATTTCCGTACAACCGCATTGGAAATACCTCCAATCATTGGACATATAACATATAACACATTCATTCGCATATCTTACGATTAGATATTATTTAAACGCCGGTTAAGGCCATTCGTTCTTTAAAAAAGGTTACACATTGTCGACATATTTTCCGATGACCATCTTGTATCGATGATATTCACTTACATATATAATCACCCCCACCGTAGAAATCAGTATAATCCATACATGCATGCATGTACAAGGGAGTACGTATATATATACACATGTATACATGTGTATAATGGACGAACACGTCATATCATTGCTCCAATCAAACGAACGACGACAAAAGGGAAACGAGAGGGGCTCACAATGGTGGACGGCTTTTTTTTTTTTTCTAATGGTGGACGGCTTTTCGGCCTGCAAAAGTCATAAACTCCAAGAAACCGGTAATATTGGCACGCCAAAATTATTATAATTATTTACATTTACATATTCCCTAATGATAAAAATAAATTACCAACAAAAAATATATCTTATACGCCTAACTAGTTTGGTTTGTATACAAAACATATACATACGCACCTTCATCATGGTATACGTATACATATATACTCACCGTAACCATGATTTGGGCAAGCGGGCCATGGAGCCCAAAGGAGGATGTGCAGCATAAAATCATTTTGTGGCAAATACGGTGTCGTTTTGCGCTTTTTTTATATTTATATATTTATAGGCTGTCGTTTTCCACTAATGTCCCTCCCTCCTTTTTCTCTGCTTTGGATTTTTATTCCAGAAATGACCATTCAATGTTTTAACTTTTCCTATTTCCTTTGTTGGATATTTCCCTTTTGTTCTTTTGCCACATACATCACTATCGATGCCTTTCAAAAAAAAAAAAACAATTGCATCAGCGGGAATTAGCGCAATTTAATTTTAAGCCCATTTTTATCTAACGATCATCGTGAAATTCGTCCTTGTGAAAAATGAATAAACAGAAACAGGATAGGCTCAATCCTCTTCTATGATGTTGGATAGCCATTCGCAAAAAGGAAGTAGAAACACTTCAAAGAGATAAAACCATTGGAAGATTCGATCAATCTGCACAAACAGAAACAATAATAGTTCCAAGACAAGGAAGCAAATCCCGAGGACAATGCTGATGGGCTGCTGCTCGGGTGGAACAAGGCGTGGCCGAGGAAATCCCCCGACTTCAGGGTCTTGTAACAAAACCTTGTACTAATTCATTACGGTCTAATGAATGGGCGTATCCCAATTTCACAACTTTTCACAGATACGCACAACTCGCGGGAGGATTATTTTCTAATCTCATCTCATCTCATCTCATCTCATATGGAGTAGAACAATAAGAAGAATCCAAAAACTGTGTGACGAATTATGTTTCCTGTTTGTTAGATGATATTTAAACTAGATAACAAAATTAAGAACAGTAAACAGTGATATTCATTGAAGCACAAGCTACGGATGGGGCAGACACCTGCCACGTTCCAGAAGATGTACAACACCCAAGCATCATATTAGCCACAACAGTCTACAACAGAAGTAGATTTCAATTCTTCTCTCAGGCTCTCTCTCCTCTGATCCTCCTGGCGAGTTGGATGTCCTTAGGCATAATCGTAACCCTCTTAGCATGAATTGCGCAGAGGTTGGTGTCCTCGAACAACCCGACGAGATACGCCTCAGCCGCCTCCTGGAGAGCTGCGACTGCGCTGCTCTGGAAACGCAGATCCGTCTTGAAGTCCTGAGCGATCTCGCGACCCAGCCTCTGGAACGGAAGTTTCCGGATCAGAAGCTCAGTGCTCTTCTGGTACTTCCTGATCTCCCGCAGAGCCACGGTTCCTGGACGGAATCTGTGCGGTTTTTTCACACCTCCGGTCGCCGGAGCAGATTTCCTCGCCGCCTTCGTAGCCAGCTGCTTCCTCGGAGCCTTGCCTCCGGTGGACTTCCTTGCGGTCTGCTTGGTACGAGCCATGTCGAAATCGGAGAAATGCAGGAAATTGTTTTCGATCTAGTTTCCTTTCTCAAAAGAGCAAATGACGAAGGATGGAGAAATCATTGGGATGGGTGGTTCGATTTTATATCCAAGCAGAGAGGAAGAGGGAAATATTAAGTCTCGAATAATCAAATCGTTTTGCTCCGTTAGATTTATATTCCAATCAACGGTCATGAACGCTCCCAAGCAGCACGATCCACGTGATACAGGAGGTATCAACCAATCAGAGATTAAGAATCTTCCTATCTAGCGGCCAACTTATGTTTGCTTCTTTCCACATTTCAATTTAGGCGCGGCTTTCAATTTTATTGTTAAAATTCGATGCGCCCGTTACATCAATTACAAACGGCGTCGTTTTGGTCTCTATGTTTTGATGAAAACAGGCCCAATCTTCGTATCGGCCCATTAAAGTCCATCCATACATACATGCATTAATGCATACGTTACATACACCCTGAGTCGTCCTGAGATGATGATAGTTCATATTAATAACTGAAAAAATGATACATATAATTGTTCATCTTGCTGTATACCTCATTCCATCGCGTACCGACTAAGAGATTCGATTTCGTGTAATTAAACATTACACTATATCAATGCAACCGTCCGGATAAGTCGATAAAATTAATATTTTAATACCAATGAATCCTCGGACAAAATAATATTTTAATATCAACCATCATGTCAACATTTAAATTTAAAAATAATACTAATTATAAAATTTAGATTTATTTTCTTTTTGAAAAATGAAATTGGAATTTTATTTAATAAAAAATAAAGTTTATATTTTGTTTTGTACAAATTGATAAATTCAGATTTTTTTGGGTTTTAACCTATTAATAAATAATACCTAAAAACATGATATATATAATTGTTCGTCTTGCTCTATACCTCAGTCCATCGCGTACTCACTACGAGATTCGATTTCGAGTAATTAAATATTGAAAAAATCTTAATAAATATCGAATTTTATAATTTTGACGAAAAAATATTAAACTTTTTTTTATCAAATAAATATTAAACTTGTTAAATAAGTCTAAAAAAACACTAAACTTTTTAAGTAAAATACATAAAATTTTATGTGTTATCAAAAAATAGTAAACTTTTTAAATAATTCAAAAAAATATATAAACTATATATAATTATAAAAAAACTAATTATAATAATTTTGACGTGTTTATATTTCTTTATATCACGTCAGTTCATTGGTTTATTTTAATAATTGTAAAAAAATTAAGTATTTTATTGGTAAATTTAAACATTTTGATGTTTATCGAGAGAAATTCCAAAAAATATTTGAACTTTTCAATTTTCACAAAATAAAACCTAATTTTTTTATCAAATAAAACTCCAACTTTATTTTTAATTAAAAAATAAACATAAATTTTATCATTTTGTCATTTTTAAACTTAAATGATGATTTGGCGACCGACATCCTATGTAGCAAGTCAACACTTTGATTATATCTGACACATCATCATCCACGTGTCACGATATATATAGAAATATCACGTCAACAATAGCCATTAAGTTTAAAAATTGGGGTTTTGTTTGATAAAACAAAGTTAAGATTTTATTTTGTAAAAATTGAAAAATTCATGTATTTTTTAGATTTTTTCTTTATTTAATAAAATCAAGAGCGTTTTTTGGTCAAAATTAAAAAATCTAGTATTTCTTTTTTGAATTTTCCCTTAATTATTAAGAAATATCAATGCAACCGATGGGATAAAATCGATAAATTTAATATTTTAATATCAATGGATCCTCGGGGAATTATATTGTTCCTTTCTTCTGTTATTTTCCCATCGACTTTCTCAAAATCCATATCTTCATTTTATCGTTTTCGACCACTTGTCCACATGTGCACTTGCCCTCTCCGCCTGCATACGAATAATACCACGGACAACGTGGAAGAGTGTTTAGGCCGAATCTGAACCCTCTTGTTGAATCAGAAGCTAACCCATGAAACACGCAACAGCATGCATCATCTTATGAACCGAGAAGGCTTACCTCTTTTTCCCAATCACATCTCATAGTCATTATAGCCAATATCAGCGTCTGAGTCGCGGTTCCTCCGAATATCATGCCCGCCCAAATCCCCTATCAATCATCATCATCATATCCATCAATAAAACCATACCATAAATAAATTTCAATACAAATAAGAAGAAGAAAGCTGCATGAATGGTGTTAGAGCTTAACTTACCATAACCCCGAAGTTGAAAACCCAACCCATGACAATTCCTAGAGGAACCCCGATGAGGTAGTAGCATCCCAAGTTTATATAAGCCACGTAGGATTGCCAACCCGACCCAACCGCCACACCTTGTCACCCCATTACACAACAAGTGTTTTAGGTATAGCTTTTGATCTCGTATAAATGGACCGTCGAATATATGAGTATATGAATATACAAAATATAAAGTATATATTACCGGAGAGAACGGGTTGAATGCTGTTGAGAAGAACGGTAAAGGCCAAAAGAATAGAGAGCTTATTGACGGCTTGGAGGACAGGTTGGCTTGAAGAGAAGATCCAACCGATCTGGTCGTGGAGAAAGACTATGATCACCCAAAACACGAGTCCTATCACTAACGACTGCGTCACTGCTACTATCGTCGCGAATTTCGCCCCCTTCCCATCTCCCGCCCCGAGTTCATTAGCAACACGTACCCTCCAAAATTATGTAAAAAGGGTTACTTTTTAATCTTAAACATGATGTTTTATATGTAAACATTTAGCATATAATATATGTCGGGATTAAAATGAGTCATAAACGTAATTAATTCGCAATTGATGGTGTATATACCTAAGTAATTGCTAGGTTTAGATACGTACCAAAATCGTAACCATTATTTATTGTTTTTTATCCATGAAATGAAACGGTTTAATCGGGTGGTTACCAATACAATTAACCTGCTAAAGTGCATAATGGACCACTAGTGGAAGTTGCCAATAAGATAGACTTCCAACTTTATTGAAATTTTTTAAAAAAATTCCTACAAAGCATAATGCATATAGCTTTTTGTAAGGAGTAAGTTTAAGCTAATTACACGAAACTCTATATATTATATAATCTAAATGTAATAAGATTGATCATATTTAATCCTAAACATATAGTACTTTTTAGGACACCCACCACGTTTTCCACGCCAATACCATTTCTGTCACACATCTATTGTGTATTCATTATAAATGGATGGTTGTTCGCATTTATTATCAGACCTACATTTGTATTTACTATTTAGTGGTGCAATCTACCCAGCGTGCAAAAGCGGGCTAGATTTAAATAAACCGAACCAATGGTTATAACATGACCGATCGAACAACTACAAGACAAAGGAGCTTACCCGGTCCCTGCGAAGAAAGCGAGAGGAATCATCATCTCCCACCCATTGATTGACATACTGCCCAATTCGACCCCACGTCACCATTAGAGTCCTCAACCAGCTTACCGATACAATTATTAGCGACAATCTAGTGTGTGTATATATATATATATATATAGACAATAACATTTTTTTTATAGAAACTGCGTCCATGATGATAACACGATGAAAGTGGAAATCAAGACCACATCTTGAGCCTTATTGGTGCGTACCACACATTGTTTCTAGGGTTACACTGTCGTTGAAATCAAGACCATATCTTGAGCTTTAGTGGTACGTACCAAATGGACAAGGCATCGACGGCGATCTTGGCGTTTTGGAGATTTCCAGTCATGAGAATTAATATTCTGTAGTACCAATTCTCTAAGCTGTCCCAAAATATAAAATCTGGGATCAAATGTTGCAGCAACCCAAATATATATATATATATATATAGTTTAAGGGAAAGAAAGGAGGAAGAACCAGAGCATGATGCCAGAGGAGGCGGAGATCTTGACGAAATCCCAGAGATCGGAGAAAGCATCGCCGGAGAATCCGTGCCACGTAAGCGGACAGCCACCGCAGACGGAGTAAGCAAACATGATGGCGACGTTGACCCACCACGAGACGTTGATGGTGGCTATGGTCCCAACCACCCCTAGTTTCAGTCCGCTCACAAACAACCAGCTCACCGCCACGTGCACCACTAGCGCCACCCCCGCCGCCCACGCCGTTATCTGATCCCAACCCATTTGTTTTTACGCAATAATCAGAAGATCAGACTCGGAATCAAAGGGTTCGATCATTATTACTATTATACGTACGGAGTTCTTGAGTTGGCACTGGAGGAAGCGTATGAGGGGAAAGCTGAAGACGAAGGCGAAGTGGAGGGGGATGACCCACACGGCCAACGTGCCGGAAAGCTCGGCCACGTCGTCGGGCTGTCCGAGCAGCTTAAGAACAGGCGTTGCGTAGAGGTATACCGGCAACAAGAAGATGCAGAAGACGAAGAGTACGATCCAAGAACGCTGCATGTACACTCCCAACATGTAATACTTCTTCGCCCCGAAAGCTTGCCCGCACATCGTCTCCAATGCACTCGCCATCCCCAGCTGCCATTCCATTAGTTTTTCTTTAGAACAACACCAAGAACCAAACTGAAAGTCATCATGAACCGAACTCTCAAGATATATATCAATACTGCTCTGTCTTCTTGGCGACAGAACAGATCAGTATCGACAACCGAAAGATGGTGACATCCCACTTAAAAGAAAAGAAGAAGCGAATAACCCAGCTTGTTCATATCTATAGAAAGAAAAAAACCCTATAAAAACAACGAGATCACTCATCGTAAAGCGATTCAAAAAGTTGAATCGATTCAACGATCGATCACTGATGGTACTACGTACGTACCATGAGGCCGAAGACGAAGCCGATGATGACGTTGTTGACGATGGAGATGGCGGCGAGTTCGACATCGCCGAGGTGGCCGGCGAAAGCCTGAGTGATCACAATCATCGAATACGTCGTCAATCTGGAGAACATGGACGGCCCCACCACCCGCCACAGCTTCTTCGTCTCCACCCACACCTTCCTCTTCACTCCTCCGCCACCGTCCTCCGCCGCCGGCAGCAACGGCACTCTCCCCTCCGCCGCCGTTCCTTCTCCATCGTCTCCCATCGGCGATGTGTTTGGTTACGTGAAGTTCAAATGAAAAGCGATGGGAGGAGAAGTCGATTTGGCTTTCGAGTCTCTTGTTATAAGAATCCAATCTTGCAATGGCTTTTTTTTTACAAAAGGAAAAGTATATTAAAATTTTGTCTTCATTTAGGGGAATTCGATAAAATCAAAATAATTAAGTAATAAAAAAAGGAAAAAAAATGCACCATTATACTAAAAACTAAATCTCTTTTTACCAAAGATACCCTTTTTGCTAAAATCATTAATAATATACCTTTTTAATGGTAAAAAGTTTTAATACCCCTGCTGTTGTATAGATTAACAAAAATGCCATTACATATTAAATGATAAAAATAAATCCCAAAATAAATACACAAAGTAATTCAAATCTTATTAATAAATGCATTATTGTTTACCTCCGAAAAAAATATACTAATTCGTAATTTTATTCTGAAATTAAGTATTTTATTGCGGTTGGGTTGGATGTGATTCTACCAATCAATTTTTAATCGTCCAAAAGTCACCAAAAACCGCAATCGCTCTGTTTTCGAGTGATAGCGACGCAATCAATCGACTCCTAAAACTAGAGACCGTAGTCTCTCCCATATATATGCATATATGTGTACAATCTCATTTGGACATAATTTACATTATGAATTAGTTCAGTTTAAAAATCTTATTTATTTTTAAAAAATATACTATTTTGAAATATTTTTTGTAAAATTCACCTGCAATGGAAGTTTTTTCGTGTTCTACTTCGCGATATTAAAATCGACATGTAACCTACAACCTGATTCTTTGATTTAATAGATGCACGTTTCAACAAAAAAAATCTTACCTATGTTTTTAGATGAATACGGATATAAATCGAACATGAAATGTGAAGCAAATCATAACAATATATTTTTTTTTATAAGAATGAAGATAACTCGAGAATATGCTTTCCGACAATCGAGGTAAAGTGCTCAACATAAGTCTGATACACTGATTTCAACATGATCCCACTTCTCGTCGACATGGCCCACTTCTAGTTGCAGATTTTAAAAAAGTTTGTATAAAAAAATATGTTGCAGAATTAAATGCATATTATTATGATGTAAAGGGACACCATATTAAGTTATTAGCAGAAGCAGGGGAAAATAAATCAGGTGTGAAAACGAAGTATGTGGAAAAATATCACAAATTCGAACTTAATTGTACAGTATCGGACCTAACCTGGAAGCCCCAGGCCCAGGCCCATTAAACGAATTGGCCCAGCCCATACCTTTATAGGCCGAGCAAGTTTGCATGTGGCATATATATATTCCCGATTATTATTATAGCAATTGCATCACATTGAATGTCATAAACATTACAAACCACTTCATGGTACCCAGAATATGGTAAACCTTTGTCAATTATATGGTATATAACAGTCAACGTTCCATAACCCTTTTGAGTTAGAAATACTTTGAAATCCTAACATGTAATAAAAATGGTGAAAGAAAATCTAATGATAATTTTTAACGGACTTATTGCTGACCCACTAACGGCCCAATGATTCCAAATCACGGTCCAAAGCATTAAGATAGCGATAAAGAAGAGCTTTGATTTGGGGTCAGATTAAAAAAAAAAACCCTTAAGCTTATAAAGATAAAGAGTGATAAAAAAAAAACAAAGAGAGCAGAATTTTAACAGAGAAGATACAAAGCAGAATACCATACTGTGCACATATCCCAGAAACAAGCTTTCCACAGTTTAAGAGCAAAAGGGTTTCAGCGTTTGAGCTCCCACTTATCTGGAGGGGCAACACACAGATTCTTAGGCCTCATCCATCTGTTCCTGTGTAAAACAAGTGTCAATAATTCAGTAAAATTAGCTTCTGATCTTACAGAGCGAATCATATGAGGCTCCAAAGACAAAACTACCGTGTCTAATCACGAATCACGCTTCTAGATATGTGATCTCTTCTTAAGACATTGTGTTTCCCTACTACTACAAGCAGAACCGCAATTCGATGGAAGATATCAAACGCAATGTAACATCCACCCCCATTCAAATAAGATGTGACTTCTGATAAAGTGTCATCGGGCTGGGAATCGTAAGATGGGCGAAAAGGGTACGAGGAAAAGCTGACGGATCAGTCGAATTCAGGGCAGAGAACGAAGGGTGCAAAGGCTAACTAACCTGCATATCGGAGGTCCACAGAGTTAGATTGTCCCTCAGCAATTGCATGATGAGAGTGCTGTCCTTGTAGGACTCTTCTCCCAGAGTGTCTAACTCAGCAATTGCTTCTTCGAAAGCCTACAGAAACGAATCCAAGAGAATCAGAGTGCAAGGATCAGACATCAATGGCCATATTTGTCAACAGAGAAGAGAGGGGAAGTACCTGTTTGGCCATGCTACAAGCTTTCTCAGAAGAATTCAGAATCTCATAGTAAAACACAGAGAAGTTGAGAGCCAGTCCCAGCCTTATTGGATGAGTAGGTGCCAGATCAGAAAGTGCAACGTCCTTCAACACAACACGCAGAAAGGCAAAGCAATGGTGAAATCTATCTTCTAACCATGTATGCCAGGTTCCAAATTTCCAACAGTTCAACCTTTTTTCTTTTCTAAAATTTAAAAAACCAAAACTTTATTACATATTTGCCGACTCTGGTTTTCATGCATCATTTTTTCAGACAAAGAAGAGTTGTGCAAAACAGAGAATAGTTTGAAATGCAAGATCTCTAAAAGACAAGATCGCTTCTTGATCAAGTACGAATTAATTCATCATCATAGTTTGATAGCTAGCCAAATTCGATTGCTTTAACAACATAGTCGTTTTAAAGTGCCAGATCAAGCACTGACAATGAGATCAGCAAGTCATTCTCAACCGAAGCAATCAAAGAAACAGAGGTAACCAAATTCGATTACTTCATCAACACAAACCCTTTTCACTGATGAATCACAGTGACCCATAACACAAAACTAGCAAATTAAACAATCAAAGATCAAATCGAATCAATGTACCTGAGCTGCTTTGTACGCGAGCATCGTATCTTCAGCAGCTGCTTTCCTCTCATCCCCGACCTTAAACTCGGCCATGTAGCGATGGTAGTCCCCTTTCATCTTCAGGTAAAACACCTTCGACTCACTCGCGGCGGCGGAAGGGATGAGATTCGAATCGAGGAGCCTGAGGATGCCGGAGCAGACGGAGGAAAGCTCTGCCTCCACCTTAGATCTGTAATCCTTGACGAGCGACACGTGCTCCTCGTTTTTCCTGCTCTCTTCCTTCTGCTCGATCGACGACACGATCCGCCAAGCCGCGCGAAGAGATCCGATCACGTTCTTGTAGGCGACGGAAAGGAGGTTCCGCTCCTCCACTGTCAGCTCCCCAGCAGGGGTTGCGCCGGCGACCAGCAGCTCCATGTACTGCACCATCTCCTCGTACCGCTCCGCCTGCTCGGCGAGCTTCGCCATGTACACGTACTGGTCTCTGGTTAACGTCGCCGCCATCGGATAGAGATTCGGAGGCGGAGAGAGTAAGAGAGTTTTTTTTTCCCTTCCGTTTCCGGAATTTGAAACTGAAACTTCTGAAGATGAAAGAGAAAGCGAGAAAGAAAGCATAAAGGGAAAGAATGCATATTATTATGATGT